TAACTCCCATCATCATATTGTGGTCCAACTGTTGCAGCTTATTGTCTTAGCAGCCATGACTCTAAATCTTAACTACACACTTATCTCACATCTACACTCAGTTATTCCTCATTCTATTCTGTTCGACACTCTTTCAAGTTCATCAGATTCCCCTGTGGTTCATCTCAGCCTTCTCCTCTCGTTAGTTTCGGTGCGAGCTGCTTTGGCCGCATTGCCAGTCTATTCGCCTATCTCTTTGCCAATCGCGCCTAGTTTTGTTCTATTTTCTTGTAGGATTTATGACGCCTGCAGGATAAGTTACAGCTGAGCATGCCGCTTCTATTTTATAGTTTTTACTATAACACTTTTCAAGCTGCCTTTGTAAGCTATATGCTTGGAAGGTTTTCCCTAAAGCCTGGCTGCATCCCATTCAGCGTAAAGCCATGCTCATAAAAATCTGGCCAAATATTGCACACATGCACGAGGATTCGCACACACACACTTGTACACATATGTATATGTATGTATATATATATATATGGTTCCTTGTCTGCCAAGTTGAACAATGTTTTATTTGCGTGGCTTTGTTTTGCGTTACGCTTGAGCTGTTAAAATTTTATGTGCCAAAATTTACGTGTTGCACACTGAATGGGCGGCTATGGGCGTTAAGGGGCGTGCCGCTGCTCCAATACATACACACATATATATCTGTGTATATACACCCACAATGTGTGTGTGTGTGTGTTTATACTGTTTATTTGGCCCACATGGGTGTATATGCGACTGTGTGTGTGTATGTTTATTCATTTATTTGTTTGCTCCGTTTGTTTGTTTATTTGTGTGCACCATGTGATTTATGCGTTGGCAATGTGTAAACTTTAGCTGCGTTCATATTTCCATTATTGGTTTATCCCAGTCGCATTCTTCCTCTTCGCCAACTTTCCACAGATGAAATATTGCGTATGCGGAATGTTGGACAGCCAAACAGCATCAGCATCAGAAGTTGACTCGCCCGCCGCTACGCGCCAGTTAAACAACAGCGAACGTGTGTAAACTAATAAAAAAACAAAAACTATTCCAACTGATTTACTACTACACACTGTGGTCACGCCCACAAGCCGCGAACCGCGAGCCACAAGCCGCAGCTCAGCGTCATGCGGCAGCAAGAAATTCAAATTAAACAATAAAATGGGCGCCAAAAAAAGATTTGCGGCTTTCACTCGTTGTTGTTGCTGTTGTTGTTGTTGTTCGCGCAACCCTTTGAGGCTTTACAGCCTTAACCATATTCATGCGGCTCAGTCGCATTGCGGCCAACCGCATGCCAATTTGCTAAGGGTTTGCCAACGTATTGTATTTGGGTCCATTGTGAATTGGTTGTGTTTTATTCATATACTAACAAATGCCATTGCCCATTGCCCATTGCCCATTGCCTAGAGCACCTCGCATATCTCGAATACCTTGTCAGCCCCACGCGCACATAAGTATGCTACAAAAAATGTATACAATTTATTCCATCTTAAAATTGACTAAGTTCGATGTAAATATATCCACACACACACACACACACATATATATATACAGAGAGCATAATTTATGCATGAGAATGCTCAATGTGTAATAGAGCTAAATAGAGATGGGAATAAAATAAAGAATGTTATATTTATTTAAATTAATATTTCTTCGATTTGAATGTATTTTGTCATGATTGACAGAAGGCTTCAAAAAGCTGTCTATACTTTGAGCTGACTATAGTCATGGCTTAAGCTACATTATAGGGAGCTCAACAAAGCAGCTACTAGGTAATTGTTATTGTTATTACAGTTGATATTGTTATTGTTATGACTAGAAGTTAGTATAAACTATTAGTTTCAATAGACAACTATAGCTTTCCATAGACTCGAGATACTCTAGATTGACTCGATTGTTGCATACGCTAAAATGGAATTTTGTAAAGAAGAAGAAGAATAAGTAAATATATGAGCATATGACAGAGAAGGTAAGCTTGCTATATTTTCAGTTCAAAACAGTCCCAAGAAGTAATATGACCTGAACTCTGCGAAGAGCTTATATGCCAATCATTATTGTACGCTTCTCTCATGCATACATAGTAAACACACACACACACACATACACAGTCACAGAGGGGGTTTACCATGGGCACTTTTATTCAACTTTTCTTGCACAGAGAATTTCGTAATTAAACTTTCAGAATCTTTTAGGGAAATTCATATGTGTGTATTTGCCTAAGCGCAAGTCTCTAGTGTGTCAAGGCGAGGGATATTAAAAATCTTAAAATTACGAAATCTCGGGAATCATTACACAGATTTCATGAAGTCAAAGAATTTTAATTTCTACAGTACTCGCTAATGCTAAATAAATTGATAAACTTTTGTAAATAATAAGGAAATGGGATGCATTACAAAAAAATTTAAATATAAATTTATTTATTAACAATTTAGTACTAATATAAAAAATAAATCTAAATAAAGGTTATATACAGTAGAATCCCGATAATTCGAAATCGCAAAGCGATCAGTTTTTTGCGATTAGCACAGAAATTCAAGTTATCGAGAATTATTGAGAACGAATTTCTTTCAAGGAAATATAGTTTGTTTTTCGATTTTTCATGATTTTCGATTTAGCGGGGTACAAATTATCGATACTCGACTGTATATATACATATAATATATACAGTAGAATCCGCTTATAGCGTCCGTACGGTCCCCGGATAAACTTATATGAGCAAATACGGTTAAAGTGTCTTCCGGGTATACCGACGGTTCCTTGAGCGCCGTATATATGTATATGATAAGCTGCATAAGATATACACGAGCATATATTTCAAATATCAAGTCTTTGGGTTTTGTGTGAGATCGGGGCTTTCACACGGATGGACAGACGGCAGACTAGACAGACACTCAGACGGACTGGCGTACATGACTATATGAACTCTGCTCGCCATGCTGATCTGGAATAGATATAGCTTAGGGGATCTGCGATGCCTCCTTTTGCCTGTTAAATGCATTTTAGAAATGTTGTGCAGCTTTGCGAGTCCTTTGCCTCACACACACACACAGTTAGTCACACACATATTGCTGTCCTTATGCCTCATGCCATCACACAAAAGTTGCTAATTGGAAATCAGCTGATTGAGCTGCGCTCGCTGGCAGTTGACGAGGCTTTTGGGAGCTCCACTTCAGTCACTTTCGAACTTTTCACATCTCAACTTTGTTTCATTTATCAAGGGCTCATCACTTAGCTATGGTAGCTGCTGACGGTGCTCCTGCTCCTGCTGCGACATGACTTGTAGCAGCTGGCTTCAACTTTCAACGTGCAACTTCCAGTTGCAACTTGACAGCGGCTGTGGCGGTGGCGGCGCTAATAAACAAATCAACTGCCGGCTGACTAAGTTATGTAAAGCGCATTAGTGACGTGCCACTTGGTTGGTGGCGTGGTGGCGTGGTGGAGCAGTGGCGGTGCAGTGGTGCAGTGGAGTGACGCTGCCTTCATTTATTTCACGTCAGTTGCGGACAATTTTGATAGACTGTCTTTGAAGGTGAGAGTGTGTGTGTGGGTCTGTGGGTGGGTCTGTGGGTGAGTCTGTAGGTGGGTGTGTGAATGTATGGGTGCATGGCTCTTGACGACCAGCAGTTAACAATTAACACTTTTGTTGTTTTTAGCTGTTGTCAAACAGCTAGCCAAAGGTTTGTGTGTGAGTGTGTGCTGTGTGTGCTGTGTGTAATGCAAATCGAGATGGCACAAAGTTGTTGCACATATAATAACCATGATGATGCTGACGATAATGATGTTGCGAGACAGCTGAGAATGATTTGAGCTGACTGAGAATCGCTCGTCGCTCAAATGCAAATGCCAAGGTCCACAAATTGAGTTGATGGCACGTTTTAACGGCTTAACGAGCAGTTTAACGGTAATTATATATATGTATGTGTGTGTGTGTGTGTGTGTGTGTGGCTGCCACGTAGAAATCCATCAGCGTGAATGCATGCTGTGCAGCTGTGCTGTGTTAAGCGAACAGCCATATGTTGCCACCAGAGCTGAAGCTGAAGATAGTTTATATGCTAGTCGACAGCGATGGGCGGAGCACGACAGGCATCGATGCATGGACATGGCCATGGGCCATGGGCGTGGGCGTGGGCGTGGGCCGGGCATGCTAGTTGTCCTCGTGCAATGACCTCGTCTCTCTCTTGTTCTCGCCTTGGCACTTCCTTTTGGCCATTTATTTTGCGGTCTGCCAGCCAAGCAGCCAGGACTACGGAATACAGACTACGGACTGCCAGCAGCTGCATGTGGGCCATGTTGGTCACATCCTTCCGCTTTGGACGCATGCAGGCATTTTATTGTTCAGGCAGAACTGCAGCTGCTGATAATGATAGTGATAATGATAATGTTACTGATGCTGATGCTGATGCTGATGCTGATGCTGATACTGATGATGATGATGATGATGATGATGATGATAATGGTGCTGATGATGTCCTCGGGCAGCCTTATGAGGTGGCAAAGTGTGCATGGAATGAAATATGTTGCAACACTGTGCACATCCAGCAATTGAAATCCAATTTAAATTTTTGCCCCAAATAAATTTCACTCCTGGGGACTGAGCTCAATTTCGATTTGACCACCCCACCTGTATCTACCTTTAACCCCTTCTTCTGCTTACCTTTAATTTTTATTTAAGTTTTTAGCTGTTGCTGCTCGACTTATTTCGGTCAATTTTACTTATATATGAATGTATATATCTTCCCCTGGCTATTTCCGCTAATTACTTCCAATTGGCTCTTAATTGCCTTTCATTTATCTCATTTTTGCTTTTGATATTTCTACTTTGAACATTTCGATTAGGACGCCTGACCCCAGCCCGGCCCAATTAGCAGCAGGAGCTGGGGCGTCATCAAACTCCTAATTTGCTATAATTTATCTCAGCTTAAAAGCGTGAGAGAGTGGGAGAGGGTGGGGGAGAGAGGTCCATTTGAAATAGAAATGATAAGAGCAGAGACCAATTAATGCTATCATAAATTTATCAATATATACACTTGGAATTTAAATGGTCATACAAGACGTACATAGAATTGATTTATCGCCCTCCAGTCGTGACCTTTTGCATCTCATCGAACTATGAGGCAAGCTGCCAAAACGCGGACTATGTACGATGCTGAGAATTTTGATATAGCACTTGCATGGAGGTGGAGCACACGTCGACGCGTCGGTTGATGGGCAGAATGCGGCACCAGGCGTGAGCGAACCATTTACCAATTGCAGCTATGGCTTGGCCGCAAGTATAGACACTCCTCATCACCTGGCGAGATAGGGAACATATCAGCACTTGGCTAGTTGCTTCATGTGAGAGAAACGCAAATCAACTGGAGGCCAGCAGAGTGAAGCGATAAGCGATAGATATTTACAGAAGTCGAATCCGTTGAAACTGGGTACCGGTGGCAGGTCATTGTTTGTGTTGTAGACACTGGTGTTCGAGCCTTGTGCAGTCAGTAGATGCTTTGATTTGTCGCCACTCAATTCGTCGGCGGCGGACGGAGGCGGTACTGGCGGCATCATTGACGGATCTAGCAAGATGTCCTGATGCCGCAAATCCGCTAACACCGACTCGTTGTCGCGTTCCGATTGTATCGCATTGTCCGCGAGCGCGAGCTTGGCCTGCGATGATTTCATGACTTCCTCGAGCATCTTGCGTTTCAGTTCGGCCAGCCAGAGTTCTGTGGCCTGATCGCCGCAGGTGTGCTGAAGGCGTGCCTCCATTAACCGCTGGCTGAGGAAGGAGCTGTGCTCGAATTTGGCCACAGTAGCGGCAACACGGCCAGCAACGGCCTGGATGTTCCAGTCCTTCTGCTTGCCAGCTATTTGAGCCTTGCACTCACCCATACACTCGAATTTCTCGATTAGTAGCTTCACGGTTCGCTTGCTGTGCATGTTCATGCAGGAGACGTGCTTCTTATCCATTGCAAGTGATAAAAGTCCTAATGGAAAAACAAAAACAACAAGAAATGAATACAACTATTAATATGGAACATGTAAATCGAAAAATGAAAAAATAAATAACACAAGTCTGACTGAACTGATACGTTCGAAAATAATAAATGCTGAATGCTGAAAGCACTCACAATTCAGTCACAGCCTCCTCCAATCACGTTTCGCTTCCTCTGTCACTCTCTCTCTCTCTCTCTCTTTCTCTCTTGCTCTCTCTGTCACTGCCTGTGTCTTTCTTTGTGCTTGTCTTGTGTGTCTCGACTTGTCCTGCCAGCACATCAATCACAATCACTGTGCCAACATTTATAGCTGCTTCTTTGGCTGTCAGCCTTGGCATATTACACATACGCCCCGTTCGCCCCCGGGAAACAGCAGCAAACAGCCGCGCCGCATCGGCAGCAATCGCTTGCGCCTCCACCCTCTCCCTCCTCTTTCTCTCTCCCTCCTTCATCATCTCCTGCTCTCTCGTGTCACGTAGATTAAGGACATTAACAAGACGTGCTAAGTCATCGCCCCAAGGCAGCTAAGCATCGAGGGCTTACCGCAAAGAGCCAAAGATTATCGTCATGCAGCCAAGCGTCCAACTTGTTGGATGACTGAAGAGAATGCAGAGCTTCCTAATGCGACCATTTCATTTGAATGCCGATTATTATCGTTCAGTTCATTCAGTCCATGAAATGCGCATTCCAAGCCAGCACTGCTGCTGCCATGTTCTTTTCAATTACACTCAAGTGACCATGGAGCTCGTCGTCGGAGCAAAAAGTTCGAATATGCTAATCAGCCCTCAACATATCGGCATGGAGCATGTACAAAATTTTCCTTCCTTTATTTTTAGCTAAATTTCCATCAAGTGTAACCATGCTCTCTGCATAGCCTTGAGTGCTCTGAAGTTTACATTAAGTTAACATAGCATGCAGCATGCAAAACAATATGTTTCTATATAGCCTTGGGTGCTGTAAAGTGAACATGTTGGATGCCTACTAATATGCTCTGCTCAGACTCCGGGCATTGCGGGCATGTGCCAATCATTTTGGTGTAGCCTCAAGTGCTCTAGATGTAATTTGAATACGTAAGAGTGTTCTAGGAAGGTAACTACTCGACCTGAACACATTCCAATCATGAATGAACTTTTAATACCTGATCATGATATTCTCACGTACGTACAAACGCCTAAGTTTTTAATAGTTTGTGGAAGGTATGCTAAGTCAGAAAATTGCCAAAGCTCTAAAAACTCTAGCTCTTACGATATTAAAGTAACGATTGGAAAGCAAAGTCAAATTATCGATTTTTATCGATATTAATGAAATTAGGAATAAAAACAAGTCTTTTGTGGTTAAAGAGATCTCTGCATGCAAGCAAACGTATTGATAGACGGTGTGACGGACACGGTTTTATCGACTCCGACTCCGACGCCGTTCTGCTTGAGAACAAATACAAAAATAAAATAATATATCATAATTATT